TCGTCACCATGAGAATGTGAAATCTCACAATGAGCAAGTACTCAATCTTTGAGTGCATAATGACATGTCTCTGATTCAGGGACATCCCGACAACAGAGTGCATGCAATTGGGCCAGAAAACAGATATTTAGATATGGCCTACGTGGATCGGTTCATTAAAAAAAAGGGCCACATAGAACACAAAACTAAAGTGGGTATATATTATCGTATAAAGTCGTGTATCGATTGCGCGCGGCTGCCGCGCGAGGCAATGTTCGTTGCTTTCCCTCGCAAAGTCGATACCATGTTGCCGCGCGCGGCAGAACGAACAATGCCGCGCTCGATGCTGGTAACCACGGACACGGTTTTAAACATAAACAAACGAACAAGTTTACCGCGCAGTCGATACACGGCTTAAGAATACAAATGCAATGAACGAAATACACAAAATATACACTGGTGGGACGTCCGCTGGATGACCACGCAATATTCAAAACACCAAACTTACCGGCGGACCATCAACCACAATCAAAAACAAAGTTTAGAAAAAGAATCCGAGACGGGATTTGTAAGTGTCCCTGGTGAAATCCTGTACAGAAGTGGTCTTCCAGTTACCAGGTAACAGTCCCAAGGAATGGACGGAAAAGGTAAAGGGATGGGGGGGAAAGGACAACTGCACATGGCCAACCAGGCAAGTTCATAGAGATCGTAGTACATCAGCCATAACCTCTTTGTTACGGCTGTCCATGGCACAAAATAAACCCGACACACTGCCAGCAGTCGGATGGCCAGATGGTATACACACAGGAGACGCAAATCTCCCAACATTTACGGTAAAACTATAAAATTTTCACAAAGATTAGCAACAACACCGAATTTGGCGGCCGGCTGGTTGGCACTCCTGCGTCCTATTCGGCATGAACAAGATTCAAATACCGGCACAGATTTCTAGTAGTTTTCCTCAGTCCTTCCTTTATCTTCTTTCTAGTTCATTATTCATCAATCATGCAATCATTTAACACTCTTGGGACAGCGAGGTTAAACAAATAAAATAGACAACAGATCTTAATTTGGGCTGCTCTGTGGAAAACTCAGTTCACAATGCGCCGACGGTGGTCACTCTCACAACTAAAAATTAATGATGGAAGTGAAATTCAAAATTAATTGTTTCCTGACCGTTTATTGTTCTGCGCTAAAGGAAACTTCGCCTGCCGAATTTTGTCGCGAATTCTTCGGTACGTGTTTGTACGATGTCAACAGAAACATAATTCACGCCATACATAATATGCAAAGTCATGAATTCCATTTTGGGGCTGTACATGCGTTGCATACGCCTTGTTTGTGTCAGTGACGGGCTAAAAAATACGGAACGCTCAATGCCAAATCGTCGTATTCCTACAGAAAAAAAAATCAATCAGCTTCAGTGAGAAACACGGATGACAAGAAGTGTGCGCCCTGTAATGAGCATAACATAACAGAGCTTAAGTGAGTCGCGTTACATTACGAGGAAATTTTTATGTCTCATTGTGTGTGAAGTGCGTAGCATCGTGTTTATTATTAGAGGCACACGCTAATGAAAGACTCTCGGGTTACAAGCACGTGAGGTGGCTGAAAGATAAACAAACCATATCTTCTGCCAACGTTTCGAGAACAATCTCTGTTCTCATCCTCAGGGCTGCTAATTAACCACTTCGTTTCTATAGCTGGTGGTAACTGCAGAAGATATGGTATGTTCAGCCACCTGACTCTGGGTTGAAGTCCGAGAATCTTTCATCAACCTAAGTCTCCGCAAAAAGCTTCACCTCATGCAACAGTAATAAAGCTGTTTTGAAATGCCAACCGCAAACACCAAAAAGACGTGTGAGGAAAATGGATGTATAACTCCACGCGTTCATAATTTAAGGCCTGAATTATGGTGAGTGGTTAACGAACCGTCCACGCGTAGTCTCGACACTGCATTGGTGCTGGAAATGTTGCAAAGCAGACAATGAGGAAAGGCTATTCTCAAAACTGATGGTAAATATCTCCAAATACGGATTACAGTCTTCTGGACTGTGATGCTACGTAGCTAGTCACCAATGTTTCGGAGGAACGTTAAGTCCACTTACCTTCATGGTAGTCTGTCTTGCTCGGGCGTAACTTATCTATCAAAACCCAGTAAGTCACAAAGCAAATTCTTTACCGTCGCGAATACCTCAGTTCTCATACAATTTTCATACAAACTTCCAAGATTGACCTAGTATTAGAGGTGCCAAATAGCCAAACGTTGGTTTTGATTGCTGTAGAGTAAAGATCAGTCCATCTGTACCTATCCTCTGCTTCATGTGCGGATACGACCTCACGGCGAAACTTTCAGCACGCCATAAACACCAAGGCAGACAACGATCAGAACTTTACCATGCGAGAGTCATGAATTGTTTCAAGGTAATTCACGACTGAACGTTACAATCCTAAGCCACTGTCTATCAGTACAATCGTCATCCCCGCTCACAGTTCGGAGTAAACTTGTTACCGAGGGGAATCACAGTGTGTCACGTGACCGCTACGTTCCGATCACATGATTCTTGATTACAGGGCGTGTCGATAATGCGATAGGTTTAACACGTGACTTTTATCGAAGACTAGAGCAGAGCGCTCCTTTCGGAGCTCCTCGGGGGGGGGGGGGGC